TTCAAATTTAGTTCAGTGAATACATAAGTGGAAACAAAATGATACAGAAACCAATTATACTACCAGGAACATCATTTTCAAGAGACTTTGTAGACAGCTACAAGAATGAGGAATGCCACTTTCTTCATAAGAAGTGGGGGTGCAGAGCAAGGGACTAGCTAGTAGCTGTACTAAGCAAGATCACATGGTTGACTTCTACTGTAAGGTCACAACTGCCCCTCTGCACATTAAGCCCTGTATAAGCAAAAGAAAGGAAAGAAAAAAGGAGACTGCTCCAGATTTTCATAAGCCATGTGACTTCAGTCCCTGAATCAAAGTTACTGGTTATGTAAATCCAAAATGACACAAGTCTTTCCCTGAACCCCTTCATTCTGTGACGTACCATCAACACCATCTGTGGTTTCGCTTTCTTCTTCTTCTTCTTCTAGCATTTCAAAAGGAGTCATTATATCATAGAGAAATGAGAGGAAACCATAAAACCAATCTGAACTTTCCTCTGCTAAAATATTAAGGACTTCCTCAAGAGAATCAATATTTTCATTACTGCCATCTTTGGTCAGGCCTACATAAGAATAAAGGAAAAGAGAAAGAGAAAATAAGGAGAGCAGTTAGGTGGAAAAAATCAGTTGAGGAAGAGTGATCTCAAAAAGGATGTATAACAATGTCACAGAGGTTTACAGAATTGGCATTTTAGAAAATAAGCAAATAAACTGAGATGCACACCTTGTAATCAACTGTTAATTATATGTGCTACAGGAAAGCCACAACATTCTCACCCAAACAATCTTGGCCATTCCTCCCTGCTAGTAAGCAGGCTGGCCTTTTTCCCATTACAGACCCTTTAGTTGGAAAACTGACAAAACTGTATTAGCCAAAATCAAAAGACATAATGGGAAGAAACAGAAGTAGTATCAGAGAAAAGATACAAACTTCTGACAATTTCCAGATTCACTAAATTACCAACCAGGTGTTAGTGAGTTGATTATACAAAAATTTATGTATGTCAATAAAATACAATAAAAACAGAGGAGCACTCTTCCTCAAACTCTTAGGACCTGGAGTAAATTAGGAAACTGAAGCTAGGGTGACTAGCAGGATTACTGCTTAGAGCATCCATAAATGGGCACAAATACACTTGCATTATGGAACTCAGAGGAAACACTTAAATGTTAACATTGTTAATTAGGTCTGTAATATCCTGGCAACTGACTCATGCCCCTGTAATTCCAGTCAATAACAAGAATCAGCTATTAATAACTCACTATGCTTAATGATAAGAAACTCAATCAAGGCCTCATCAGCTGGTCCTCTGCAACAGAACAACCCAAACCCCTCTTCCCTTCAGCACATGAAATTACCTTCTACTGCAAAGACTGGCACTTCTATAGTTTAAACATTGGTAGCAAAAACAGACTGTCCTAAAGAAAAGAAATCAAAGTGTGTATTACCACTTTTTCCTGTGTAGAGCTGGCTTTGACTAGGAAAGGTCTCGCAGTGCTAGTAGGTATCAAAATCTGCCAACACTGCCAAGCTATATTTATAGCAAGGCCCCATAATTTTGAGGAGAAACTCAGGGTAAGTAGTACTTGCTGCAAGAAATATGAACATCCACAACCATGGAGTTTTTTCTTTTGTAACCCCTCCATTCAGTCATTTAAAGCTTTGGCAAGAATTTCTCTACAAAGCTCAACTATCAGCAATCAAAACTGACATGCAAAGGTAATAGTGTGGCAGCTAACTTAGATTTTAAAGATGATAGTGAATTTTTTCTGCTGTAGTCAACAGAAGAATTACAGAATGCCAGTATATATTTGAAGGGAGGGACAAAAATTGCTATCAGTATTCAAATTAGTTTTTGACAAGCTCACGTTTTTCACTGAACTTAAGAGCTGACAAATGCTAGAACGGGAGATCTGAATTTCCATCCAAGTCTTTGGGAAAGGAAAAGTTCCTTCTCCCTGTCTTAAAATTTTATAGCTAAATATTTAGTAAAAAATCTCAATTTTTCTCCATATTCCAATATATTATAAGTACTTCTAAGTATTAGATATAAAATTAAAACTTCTCATTCTTCAGTATAACAGGTTAAAATGAGCAAGCATGCAAAAGCATTTAAACAAAACTATTCAATTAAGCAACCTTCCTGTGGTTCTTAAGACAGAGTACTAGAGAAAAAGGGAAAAAAATCTGAGTATGTTAACCTACAAGAACAAGTTCCAACCAAACAGCCCAGCATTAACGCCTCTGCATGGGCAAACACTGGTCTCCTCCAGCCCTGAGCTCACCCATACTCCATCCATTCTATAACATGTCTCAAAGGTAAAAAGTATAGGCTGGCTTCCTTTCTGTGCTCCAGCAATACCTGAGATGTGATGGGACAATACAGCTCCAGCAATACAGCTAGGTGTGATGGGACAAAAGGACAGCAACTAGTTCCTCAGGTGATGTTACTCTAAGCATTTAGTTCTCATGCTCTTTCCTGTTGATTTTATGTGGGAAACATATTTGTAAAAAATACATTTCCAAGCAACATAGTTTCCACTAATCCAAACTAAAATCAAAGATATTTTTATTTCAGATGATTTGGCCACAAGAAGAGGAAGCAATGTAAGGAAGAACAGACTTAGTGTATCTCCAAAATGTACCAAAGGGGCTTAGCCTAAAAATAAGTTTATAACAGCTATTGATCTTTACTCACTCACATATTAAGTTCGCAGAAAAAAGCCAAACCTTGAAATGTGACAGAAATGTAACCATGAATGTAAACATTTCCCTAAATTGATATGATTTAGATATATACAGATACAAATATTCAGAAAAATATTTACTAAATATCCCACCTAAAAAATTTAAAACTATTACTATATTTGTCATGCCAAGCTCTCTTCTACCTTCCTCCATTCCCTTATACTCCTTCTGCCTTAATCCGAAGCCTATACTATATTCTTCATATTTAAGATTAGTCTTTAAACTGCCTTTCTAATGAGTATGTGCCCAGGAAGTCTGACTGGCTGGGGCAAATGCTCATTGTATTTGTACCTCTATCACTTCTCTCCAAGTTCTGTCTTTTCGGTCACTTGCCAGTAACATAGACACTGCTAAACTAAAATAAGCTCCGTACTAGAAAGGGCTTAATAATCAAATTCTTGTTGTCTTTGTATTTCACAGAAAATTCAAACAACATAGAAACAAGGTTATAGTGACAGACTGACAGTTCACCTAAAGCTACAAGCTAACTATGAACTAGGATATAACACAGTATAGTTTCTTTATCTTAATCTTATATTTCTTTGTGCATTTATGAGTCAAATTATCAAAATGAATACAGATTCACCAAATCTGGTTCCATTTCCTAGTACATAATTCTAAAAGGAACAAATTTTGATTAATACATACCATATGTGTCTATCAACAAACTGTAATCCTCAAAGTTACATTTATTTAACCTCTTAAGGGTTGCTTAAAAATGTTAAAGGGAATAACCTTTTGAAATCTAAAATACACTAAAAATCAAGTTATTAATGTGAAAAAATCAATAAAATATAGTAGATGAGAAAATTATTTCTAAAAATAAAAGAACTTGGCCTAAATAAAGTTAACTTAAAACAAAATCAGAATTCATCAATAAAAGTAATTTTGGAGTAACAAACCACTTATAGCAAGAAAAACTGCCACTGTCCTCATATGCTGTTTTATTTAGTTCACAGGACTAATACTATAGCTATCTGAGGACTTAATGTATGTTTACATTAAATTCTAATTTAGATACATAATGACAGATTTACAAAGAAAATTCCAGGGCTGGGAATTTGGCTCAGTGGTTCGGCCACCTGCCTTGCAAGCACAAGGGCCTGAGTTCAATTCCCGTTAACAAAAAAAAAAAAAAAGAGCTGGGAAAAGAAATTTCATGGAAATTTTATAGTAAGCATCCAATGCTAAGTGGAAAACATTAATTCCCCTAAATTAGTAGTAATAAAAAGAAAACAAAAACTATGACAAGTCAAAGAAGCTGTATAACATTTAATAACTAATATAGTTTTTAAAAATATTTTTTCATATTTAGAATTTTGTCTTAAAAGGAGATGAAATTTACCTACAGAAAGAAATTTAATTGGCTATAGATATGTTATCCTTCCAGTTTTCCATGTTAATAAAATACAAAATGGCACTTTGAAGATTTTCTTCATATTATCTCATCAGATCAAATTATAGAAAATTTGCATATTAAAACCAGCACCATCCTTTCTAGTAAGACAGCATTTTAAAACAAATGAGGGACAAAGTTTTTGTACATAGAGAGTGGAGGGGGTCTGAGAGGGAGAATGGCACAAAATTTATTCTTAAAAAATAAAACAAAACAAATGAGGGATACCACATCTTTATTTATTGCAGGAAACACCTCAATGATAGATTAAGACAGGTAATTCTGATAATAGAAAGAATCCAAGATTTCCAGAACAAATGAGCTTGGTCAAGACCATTAATTCATATTTTAGTATATGTGCTGCCAAAGCGAGCACAATTAATTCAGATTTTAACAAAAAATTTAAAATATACACAGGGCATTTTAAGATAATTTACTATCATGACTTTATTTCAAAATACTGTAAATTTATGTAAGCCTTCAGAAATTTACATTTTCAAATGAAGGTGAATTATGTCAAATGATGCTTAAAATGGCTGTACTTAGTATATTTGAAAATAGTTGTTATATATATATATATTAGGTTCAGAACATGAAGTACTTTAAATCTGAAAGCAAAAATGAAATTATACTTATTAAAGAATCTACATGAAAGAGCTATATATTGTTTATAAAAGTAAATTAAAAGGCGGGAATCTTACAGAAGAACAGTCATTTAACGTCTCAACAAAAATGTAATCTATTAAAGTGGGAAAATTTCAGAAAATGTTTACAAGTGAAATAGATATTAAAGCAAAAATATTCTTCTGGTTCCAGTATTTTTCCACCACTAACAAAAAATAAAATGAATACTTGCCTAATAAAACTTTGGCGTCATCCACATCAAAATCTCCATCACCATCAGCATCATAGACTCCCAGTTTTCCTATAATAAGCAAGAAATGATAGATGCAAGAACAAAAGAGAAAATAAATTTAATAAGGTATTATGACTTATTGCAGACCTATATACCAACCATAAACGTTTCTGACCAATGTAATTCTTTATTCTTTCAATCCTTTAAAGAAGTACTATGTGAATATCTTAAACAAGGATCAAAGTCAAGTCAATTAGATTCAGGAAATGTTCACATAACAAACTGCTAAGACTGAAATATAGTATTTTCTTTAAAGGTTAAATAACACAATGACTGATGATCACAGTTTTAAAGCAGTATAATTTTATAATAAACAGTTAAAACAGTATAATTTTATATAAACAGTAACATTTATTATACTGTTAAAAATTTGGGGTAAAATTTTTAACATGTACAAAAAATAATACTGAACTATTTTGTTTTTGATAACGGGGATTGAACTCATGACCTTGCATTTGTGAGGCAGGCATAGTGCCACTAAGCTAAATCCCTGCCCCCCATTTCTAACAGTTACATAAAATGTAATGTTTCTAGTGAAATTTTATCATACTATCAAAATCTGAAGCAAAACAAATATAAACCAAGCCTCAAATAAAGACTAAACTTATGTATGCATTTAGTAAAGATTAAATGTGTATAAATATAAATAAGCTAACACAGGGAATAAGTACTAAAAATGAAAGGAAAAAAAATTTTTTGGGGGGGTACAAATTCAGGATCTTGTGCTTGTAAAGCAGGCAGCAGAAGCACTGAGCTAAATCCCTGGCCCAAAAGGAAATTTTTATACCAATAAATTATAATTATAAACATAATATCATGAATCAAACAGAGAAAAATATGTTCTGTAAAACAGTATGCAAATCTGGAGGCTCCCTGAAATTACAAAGAAAACTTAAGTTATCCCAGTCAAAAATTTAATTAGCATAGGCCATCTACTACAAAAGAAAAGAAAAAAGGAAGGAGAAAAGGGAAAGGAAAGGATTAAAACAGACCCACTAAAAAGACATCACCAAAAGAAGAGCAAATATGTATTTTTAAAGTTTTAATGAATTTGCATCAGGACTGCAATTATGCTTACCATTTCAAGTGAGTTTAATACCCTAAAAAGTGAGTCAATACCCGAAAAAGCATTCTAAAATCAACATGGCTTATATAAGTCATCACTGGATAGGGACTATGAAGAAACATCATAATGTACAACAATATTTTAAACAATATTCACAAATTCAACATTAGTCCTAAAAACAGTTGATAATGCTGTTTCCATTTTTTAGCGTAAAACACATTAAAAGATACATAACAGCAAGCACAAATTTTGGCACAGAGCAGCTATGACCCAGCTTTATTTTTCCAGAACCCTAGTTCTACTCAGAAAAATAGTTAACTTGCTATGCAGAAGTTTGATTTATCACATTGAAAATGATTATAATCATGGCGAGATAAAGGTGTTATTTCTATTGCTAAGAAAATGTAAAGTACTCATCTGTGAGTCCAGATTATACACAGAATCGAGCTCAAATGACATTTATAAATTAGAAAATACTACCTTCCCTAACAAATTCACAAGGGGAAACAGGTCCTACTATTTACATTCTTTAGTGTAGTTGATAACTGAATTAGTAGAAAAAACTTGATGTTTTAGAAACTGATGCAAATATACTAAAAATGCGTTTCCAATAGCCTACCTTGAAGTACCTCTGATAAGTTATAACGGAAGTCCTTTGCTTTGGCTGCATGCATGTAAAAACATGAAAATTGTTACTCATGCTTTAAAGGTAAAAATATTTAAATGTCTTCTTCATGCACTCCCTAGCAACACAGCATTCACTATAAATCCATGAAAGCAGAGATAAACTTAGAAGTTTACCTCTGAATTAAAATTGTTAATCAATCTATTAAAAGACACATCACTTATAATAAAAATGAAAAACCTCAAGGAAAGACAGATAACAGATAAGCATATTTTACTATTTTTTGCCCTCCTCCCTAACTCTGACAAATGCAGCAGGAGCACAGGCAGTCCGATGCAAGGGAGTGGGTCTTCTACGCAACACTATATACATAGACAAAGGCACGCTTTTTCCACTGACAGGTACACATCGTTCCCTGTATTAAAGAGGAAAGCTATCATTTACAACAGCCAAAAAGTAAAAGTAACCGAAATGTCCATTGCTGATGAGTGAATAAACAAAATGAGATGTATCCATGGTGTAATATTATTCAGTTATAAGCTAAAGCAAATGCTAAGTCCTGAAATCAATGTTAAGTACAAAATAGCAAACACAGAAAGCCACTTATTATATGATTCTTACTATATACGATGTTTATATACATAAAGACTAGTGTTTGCCAGAAGGAAGAGGGTGGGAGATGAGATACATTGAGGGCAGGGACAATGGAAATATCTGGGAATCAGATAAGCATGATGGTTGCACAAAGTGATGAATATTCTAAAACTCAATGGATCGTGTACTTTTAAATATTTAAAATATTGAATTGTATATAACTATGAATTTTTAAATATTTAAAATATTGAATTGTATAAAACTATGAATTTTATCTCAAATTTTTAAAAAGATAAAAATGATAAAGAATTACGATTATAGGGATGGGAAGAGTACAAAAAGTAGGATCATGAGAAATATCAGAAACATCAACCTCCTCAGAACAGCTTACAGACACACCTATCATCCACATACAGAGTCACAACCATATGCCCACACACTACCACCCCCATACATACAAGTACCCCAATGGAGACACAGGTGGATATGCTTTGAAAACTTTCTCTAAAATGGGTTTTGCAAACTGCACGGTTATGCTGCATTAGTGGATCTATAAATAAATCCAGTGGTTCATGAACAAAAATTTTTTAAATTTATAAGAAAATATGCTAAAAATTACAGAGTACAGCAATGACAATAAGTTTGACAAGTCATTTTGATAAAATTTGTGCATTAAAATATAGTCATGTGATATATATATATATGCCTTTTTTTGTTGTTACAGGTTATATGCAAAGTTCAAAAGCCAACTCCAAGCTAACCCCGGAAACACATTTTGCTTCTTTTTTGGGGTGGGGGTTTGAGACAGGGTCTCACTATATAGTTGAGACTGACCTGGAACTCACTATGTAGCCCAGGCTGGTCTTGAACTAACAACGATCCTCCTGTCTCAGCCTCCCGAGTGCTGGGATTGCAGGTGTGCGCCACCGCGCCCAGCTCACTTCTATCTTATTGAGAACTACTGAAAGACTATGAAAGTACAGTAACATTATAAAAAAGATAACAAAATTTTGATAATACTAATGGATTTCACTTACCCTCTTACCAATTCACATAAGAAGCCATATCAAATTCTTACCTAGAACTTCCTCGTAATCAACAAGATCAAACCAAACGACGGCTACTGATGTCCAGACTCCCAGCAAGGCAATGACCATAAACCAGGTGAAAAAGGAACTGCCAGAAAGTCCTCCTTTCCTTCCATTCTTGTGTCCTCCATGCTTTGTCTCTGTTTAGAAAAAAATGTCCAGTGTCATCAACTAAGAAGGAAATACTACGCTGACCTCTTTCCACCTGAATTGTTTCTCCAGTAATTGCAGAGTAGATCATTCCAAAAATAGTTTTCACTTAAGTTCTAAAATCATGCTACACAAAGATTTTGAGAAAAGAAAAGTTTCTGTTTTGTGGCTGCTTAGACCACAATACCATGTACATAAAACCCCAATTTCAAAGTAATGGGAGAAATGATCTATTGAAGGGCTAATGATTTTATTAAAAATTATATTTGCCGTAAAAGACATTCCTTCCAAAATTCTTTATCAAAACCACTTGCTTACAAAGAAAAGCAGGACAGTACTGATTCTGTCCCTGGCTCAGACAAGATCCAGTGCTGGGGCCGGGCTGGCAGAAGCAGGAAAGGGCGCGTTCAATCTGGCCTCACTGTAGGAAACAGCTCTGTAAACTGCCGCCCACCAAGTATCATTTATCACATCTGATATGCTTAATATACCTTATATTCTTCTGGAAATGTACTTCAGACAGTAAAAAATAAACAAATGTCATCTAATTAGACTGACAGCTGTAGAAAAAAGTCAACATTTTTATTAAAAGGAAAGACCATCCACAAATTTCTCTTAAAAAATGAATGTAATAAACTGGGGATTTAGCTTGGTGGTTCTGCTGCCTGCTTCACAAGCACAAGGTCTTGAGTTCAATCCCTGGTACCAAAAAAAAAAAAAAAAAAAAAAAAAAAAAAAAAAAGAATGCAATACATATAAATACTAATAAAAGAAATAAAAATGTCATATTGTATCCCAAAATGCCACCTGAAAAGAGAAAAAGTTTATCAACCAGCTAGAAAAGCAAGACACAGCCTCACATCTGCGGAGCACAGACACTCTCTTTAAAGTGCACTCTGTGTGCTGGTGTAAGCGATCCTCCTGGTATCTTGTTCACGTTTCTGCAGGACGTGTTTCTGGATATTTAACCAGGGCAGTGCTCATCTTGACAAATGTTCCTCACAGTGCAAGACATCTGACATTCCTGATGGAAGGCCCAAAGGCAAGCAGGTCCCTGAGTTTATAGCCATATAAATGTAATCCTACACATTTCCACGTCTCCTACATGGGGTCGTGCTTGACTGAAAACCATGGGTAAGACAGGAACAAGCAAACATCTATTGTAAAGAAATAAAAGGGTTCATCCATTGTTACCAGCAAACTGGACAGAAGCAGAAATAACCCCTGACCTCTGCAGTCCTGACGACCCTTGACCTGCACCAAGTCAATGAAAAAAATTGACTTTGAAGTCCAGTTCTAAGTATATTAGTAGTAGTTTCCATTGGTTCCAGTCAAGAATAAACTACCAGTATACTTTTCTGAATAAATGAAATTGTTTTGTTAAAAAGATATGCACATTTAAAAACTATTGCTAGATCAACTTTTTGAAAACGAACTCAATCTGAGGACACATGTATGTTTATATATATTTTAAAATAAACATAAATATTTTATTCTTGAAAAAGTTCAACAATTCCTTTTATCCATAGTGTTTAAATATTAATGAGCCATCAAAATGGACCAGATTTCCAAATAATCATATGGTAAAAAATATCTTTACCAAATAACATATGGCTATTGACCTTGCTTAACATAATCTGTATAAATGCTAGCTATATAAAAACATAATTTATACATTAAAATATCTGCTGAAAATAGATCGAATCTTGGCATATTTAATCAACTTAAAGTGCACATCACTGTTTCATTATCTGAATACAAACATAGGAAGGAAAGACTGGGTAAAAATTTCCACGATGTTAATGAGAAGAAATGATGACTTGCAATATTTTTGTGTCTTAATCACACAGATTATAAAAAGAATAATACAAGATACATTATCACTAGAATTTCAAAAATTAAAAGAAAAAAGTTAGTAGGTGTCTGTGCTGATAGGGAGTTCCACAGATTCAGTAGCACTGCTGTGTTGAATTTATTAAACTTTTTTTAATATGGAGACATTTTCCTAAGAATATGTCTCCCCAAAAAATACCTTGTTTCTATTCTATATAACATAGATGAAGAGATCCCTTTGCTTACAATACTAAATATAATTACAACAATGATACCTTCTGAATATCCATCTACTGCTAAATATGAAACTGTACTAATGCCTCAGAATTTCCTCCCTTGGTTATTTACTGCTTCTGAAAACCAAATTAAAACTGTACTAAAACTGTGTTCTCAGCTTACCTTCTCCCAGACATTGTGTAACTGACAAGACTGTTATATTGTTCCTCATTAATTGGAAAACAAGAAACCTAAATATAGTTCATCTTTTTATTCATTCATTTAACATATTCAGTATGTGTATGATACTATTATGACCTAATCATTAAGTTTTAAAGATGTGCATGATGGGGCCAGGGATTTAGCTCAGTGGCAACACACCTTCCTCATAATCACAAGGTCCTGAGTTTGATCCCCAGTACCAGAAAAAAAAATAAATAAATACATAAAATAAAATAAATAAAGATGTGCATGTTGACCACAGTACACTCAAAATGAAACCTAAAGTGAGTCTATTGGTTCTGTGTCTGAGATGAGATCTCATTATGTTGCCCAGGGTTCAAGTGACGTTGTTCAAGGTTCAGTCTCTCCAGTAGCTGGGACTATAAGCATGTACCACTGCATCCAGCTTCTATCTCTTCTTAAAGTAGACAAGAAGGAGTAAAATTTTAAGATTCTCAAAAGTAAAATATCATTTAACCAAGTTAATAACACTCATGTTCTTCATTGAAGGAACAGAAGCGGGAGGAGAGAAAAAGCCAAATACATAACAGAATACAGAATGGACTTTACGGCCAAACTAACCCAAATGAGTTAAAGCCGGAAAGTGCTGGTGGAAAGAAGGCCTAGAGAGGAGAGGGCACAAGAAAGACATAAGAAATAGATGTGCAGTGGATGCTAAGAAGCCACTTATAACTGAGGCCTGCAGAAAAGCCCCTAGTAGGCCTTAAAATAATTATTATAAGGTTATCTCTAGAATAATCTGTAGAACACATTCACATTGTCATTAAAATATTATTTAATATGTTTTGGAATTCAAAACATATAATCAATCTTAGATTTTATTTAAAATAGCTGCATTAAATATAATTATCACTTTGAAAGACACACAATACTTTAGGGGTGGGGATGTAGCTTAATGATAGATCATTTGCCTAGTATGTGCAAGGCCTGAGATTCAATCCTGAGCACCGAAAAAAAAAAAGGATACACAATACTTAGCTAGAAAATTAATAGCAATATTTTACAATCTTACAATGTCACATAAAAGACGCAATTTCTAGCGTTACCAACCATATTACTGTTAATATTTGCTAATTCTGTAGAGGAACCAAATACTAAACTATAGAAAATAAGCCTTTTTAAGAAAACATTTTTAAGGAAACTAGTTTATGGACAGCAAAAATGCTCTTGATATAACTCTCTATAAATATAATGTGCCAGTCCCAAAGGGCAGATCAGTTTTGTCCAATCAAACAGAAGAAAACATAGTGAGACAAATAACTCCCTATACAAACTTGAAAACAGTACTGTCACAAAGATGTTCTGGAAGAATATCTAACAGTTATCCCCATTTTCAAAGATAAGAAGAAATCTAAATGAGTGTCTTCATTGCATTTTCTGGCTCCACATTCAACCTGTAGAACTGAGGAACTGGTCAAGAAGATTTTTTTTTTTTTTTTTTTT